CTATGATTCTATGATTCTATGAGTATATACAGTAATTGTTTTGAAATTTTCAATTGACAATTTGGAACTGAGATGTTCAAAATAAATACTTTTCTAGGAGTGGCAGTGGTGGGGTGGGAAAGAGCTGATATGTGGGCCCTTTCCTGTATGGCCTGGGGTGTCTTGCATTATCCAAGTGATGTAGGAAGTATGTACATCCACTGACTCCAGCACTGAAAATATAACCAGTTAAGTAAGCCAGGCTACCCTAAGCTGTTGGTCATGTTTGCTAACCCTAATCTAAAATGATCAGCTTTACCAATTTCCTGTCACAAATGAATGAAAGTAATAGCAAATTATATCAGAACTGAAATTAAATGTCATACCCAACATTTGCTTTGCTATGGCATTACGAATGTAAATGGTAATAACATTAGCAGTTTGTGTATTATATTAAAACACCAGCTGCCAGTTGTTTTGCTAACACCTGCTTCCCCCTCTAGCATTTGCTATTTAAGAGGTTGTGGAAAAGGAGTTATCTTGTGTCAGTGGAAGTTGCATGCTCCTAGCCTCAAAATAGGTTCAGCAGCTTGAACAACTCTTATGAATTTCTGACTACAACTTGGGAGTGGATTCACTGCCCATCTATCATATTTGGGGGAAAACAGACCGGCACAAAGGCGCCTTGAGACTGTAGCAACCACACACCCTGGTTCCAAGGGCATCCTCTGCCACGGGCCCAATGGAGCAGGAAAAAAAATGCTCCTTTTTGGGGCAGGTTTCCATGGCCCCAACACAGCTTTGATATGTCTTCTGTGCATTTTGGGGGCATGTGTTATCTGATCGGCATGCCCAAAGCTGCATGGAAGCTGGCTTTTTTATCCAATCTGTTCAGGCCCAGTTATTAGCCCCTACTATCCTTTTCTTGCATTATCTACCAAGAAGAGAGAAATCGATTTTGCCCTTCAGAATCAACTCTGCTGCTCCTACAGTTCTGGAAGCTGGATAGACTGCTTGCAGGGGAGGTAGCCTGTGTGACCCATTTTCTTAGGACAAATGAAATAGGAGATTGCAGTTGGGCTGCTTGTCTTTTGCTTAATTTAAATTCATTTACATCCTACTCACCTAGCTTCCTTGCCCTTGCCCTATGGCTACTACCTTTATCATTATTCCCCTTTCTCTTTGGGCAGCATTACTGGAACTCTTTTCACCACTCTGGGCAACCACCTTTACCCTGATGCCCCAGCAACTGTCTTCAGACTTTCACTCATAATGCTCATAAGAAGAGAGTAGGCAGGCACAGCACCATCGTTCCTTAGCCTCAGTGGCTGGTGAGAAGCCCATCCTCCATTCCAACTACTGCTGCTGTTGCCTCTGAAGAAGATAAAAGCAGCCACCATCTGCTGGATTTAATCTTCTCCTCCATTCCCATCCCTTTATCCTTGTGTCTTTTGTCTTATTAGATTGTAAGCATGAGGGCAGGGAACTGTCAAATTAAGAATTTATGAGGCACTCTGGTAGCCTTTTTTGCTGAAGCAGGGGATAGAAATGCTTTAAATAAATAATAAATATTGAAAGATTTTATTTGGCTAATACACACAGAGACACACAGCATTGATGGGTAGTAAACAATCAGTAGAAAGCCAGTGTGGTGTAGTGGTTTGAGCATTGGATTACAACACTGGAAACCAGGGTTCAGTTCCCTCTCAGCCTAAAGGGAAGGCAATGGCAAACCTCCTCTAAACAAATCTGCCAAGAAAACCCTAATGCCTTAGGGGTCACCATAAATCAGAAAGAACTTGAAGGTACACAATACAAACAATGAGTAGGCCTATGCAGTAGGCATATGCAAATACAGAGCAAAGAAGAACACAGGCTTAAGATATAACCATAGCTATCCGCAAACCAATATCCATACTTGAAATTGAGCTTAGACCAGGAAAGAGACAACTAATGAAGCCTGAAACCTAGTGTTAACTACTCTGGTCTTTGGGTATCTGATTATCACTTGGCAGGGAAATTTTGTATTAACTAGTTTCTGGTTTGCTTTGAAAGGCAACATCCCAGGTTTATTGCCTACCTTTCTCCAGCAAGCCCAAGACAGCTAACAACATGAATTAAAACAATAGTGGAATTGTTTTTTAAATATTTTCATAGCAATAAATGTAGCAATGAAGCCATAACATTGTAAAAGAGCTGGAAAGACAAGGTTATTTTTTAAAATAAAAATAAAAAGAGCAGATCACAAATAATTTAACGATAGCAATAAAACCAAAAAGTGAGCAACCCATTTATGGTCCAAAAGCCTTCCTAGAAAGTATAGATTGGACCACCTTACAGAAGGTCATTAGACCAAGAATAGAAATGCACTCCCAAAAGAAATTGCACAACAGTTCAGTCTTCCTGGACATTGTATCTCAGACCTCAGAACAGCAGTCCTTGAACAAAAGACCTACAAAGAAAGATTAGAAAGTGAAACAGCTGAATTATAATAAATCCACAATCTCCAGTCCATCAACAATGCATTGAACAGACACAATGGTTTGATGACACATTACACATATTATAATGCTAGTTAACACCCCATTTTCATAAGGGCTCTTAGCATACTCTCCACCCCTCTAGCCAGGTATGGGGTGTCACACATGTTTTTGGAGAAGTCACGATGACCTGTGGAAACTAGATTAGGGGTCACACTGACCTAGAGACATGTGGAAGACCTAGATACCATTGTAAATGGGTTTGCTGATTGATTTTCCCCCAAGCTCTCCTCACCTAAAGCTAACAAAACCAGATGCTGTGATCCTATCCACCACTCCTGCCTGATCACCAGACACTGTCTCAAATTCAATCAAAGTTTTATTGAAGCAATCAGCCATTTCAGAATCCTTTTGTCAATTCCTTGCATATTCCTAAATAAAACTCACTTATTTCATTAGGATGTTAAGCTTGAGAGTGTCCAGAGGAGGGCGGCCCAAAATAGTGAAATGCCCTGTGAGGATCAGCTTAGGAGCTTGATATGTTTAATCTGGAGAAGAGAAAGCTAAGAGGTGATATGATAGCCCTGTTTAAATATTTGAGGGGATGCCATACTGAAGATGAAGCAAGCTTGTTTTCTGCTGTTCCAGAGACTAGGATACAGAGCAATTTATGCAAATTACAGGAAGAGAGGTTCTACTTATATATTAGGAAGAACTTCCTGACAGTAATAGCTATTCAACAGTGGGACATGCTCCCTCATAGTGTGGTGGAATCTCCTTCTTTGGAGGTTTTAAAACAGAGGCTGGATGGCCATCTGTTGGAAGTGCTTCCATTGTGTATTCCTGCATTGCAGGGGCTTGGAATTGATGGCCCTTGAGGTTTCTTCCAACTCTAGGATTCTGATTTTATGATTAAAACCAGAGTCTTGCTGTAGTGAGTACTGGTATACACAGGTGTAAAAGATCTCCAAAGTTACCCTCCTCTCACAGGTCTTCTTATGAACTAATATTTTCCCCCAAATACCGGGGAGATGCTGACATTGTAGGTGAGCACTCTCATGCCCCCCCCCCAATTTTTGGGTAACAGAGCTCTTGTGGGTTCTTTATCACATCTCCATTCTGCTTCTCACACTACATTCCAACAACTCCCACTTCCATTAATATGGTTAATCACTCACCTTGGCTTTAGGCCTTCCCCCTGTCTTTGTCCTTCCTCCTGTCTTTGTCCTCCAGTGTTGTGAAGAGAGTACTGAAAAGCATGTTAAAAGCAGAAAACAGTAAGGAGACAAGCTTCATGAGCTCTGAGATAGTTAACTGTTTATTTGTGTTTTTTTAAAGAAGCCCAATGCATTTTGGTCTCAATGAGAAAAGGTCTTCTTCAGAAGCTAGAAACAAACACAAATACACATATATTATGGGTATTTTGTCCCCCAGTGAAAAGCAAGCAATCAGTAAATTTCATTTGCTTAAAGCCATGTAGCTTAACATCCTAATGAAATAAGAGAGTTTTATTTAGGAATATGTAGAAAACACATACAGAATAAAACAAACAGCCCATCAGAATTTATAAATCAGCATCACTAAGATGACATTCTGTATTAGCATTCATACACTGTTATCTAAAAAGGATGGATCAAGAAAAAAATTAGCCAATCTTTGTTGAAAGTAATAATTATTGTAAAATGTTTGTTATAGAAAAGTAATTAATTCACAGAATTAGCAAATAAATCAGTTGTGCAGTTTAATAAAAAAAGAATAGAAATAGAATGTTTTGTAAAACTTCTGTTTCATGTAAAGCACACTGACTACAGATTTTTTTTTTTTTATCATATCACCCACACCAGACTGCTACTGACAACAAGTAGCAGTCTTACTGTAAAACTATTATGTTTGATAGGGAGACTGGTTATGCTTGCCATGCAAACCAAAAGAACACATCCACTGATCCATGTGATCACCTTGAAGTCCAAGTACCTGATCCAGGGATGGATCTTGAGGGGCAAGGGGGCAAGGTGAGTCACAGGAGCCCAAGGCTTTGGAACTGCAGGGCTAGCCTGGAGAGGGATTTGTCACACTCAGCAAATGCATTTGTTGTTGTTTTGTGCCTTCAAGTTATTTCTGACTTATGGTGGCCCTATGGTGAACCTATCTTAGAGTTTTCTTGAAAAGATTTGTTCAGAGGAGGTTTGTTATTGCCTTCACCTGAAGCTGAGAGCTAGTGACTTGCCCAAGGTCACCAAGTGGGGTTCATGGCCAAACGGGAAATTGAACCCTGTCCTCCAGAGTCACAGTCCAACACTCAAACCACTACGCAAACACTAGGTCTCTAACAAATACTTATCAATGCATACATACATTTAAAATTTTACTTACTGTAAAATAGTCATGTAAATTAGAGGGCAAATCAAGAATTTTTATGCTATTATTTGTAATAATGTTTAAAAGGGAATTGATTGCATTGCTCCTTAGTTTCTTTTTCATTTCCTTCTATGACTTCATTACTTTATTCTGCTACATTTTCATTACTTAATTTTTGATTGATAAGAAAGTCACATAAACTTGAACAACTTCTCCCCAAATCCTAAATTTTAGAAGTGATAAGAGGGTGACCAGTGCCTTCACTAGGGTTGGTGTCACCCAGTGTGGGTGTCTGAAAATGGCTGCTGGAGGAAGTGGGGTGTATTGCCCCACCTACACTGTATTTGTCATAGTGTAGGACCTTCACAAGTTCACCCTAGATGATGAAAAAATAGAAATAGTAAAAGAATTTCCATACCTGGGATCAAACATTAATAGAAATGGGGACTGCAGTCAGGAAATCAGAACAAGACAAAGAATGGGGAGGGTGGCTATGGAAGAACTGGAAAATATTCTAAAATGCAAAAATATACAACTCAGCACAATGGTTAGAATCATACAAGCCATTGTATTCCCTATTACCATGTATGGATGTGAGACCTGGACAGTTAAGAATGATGATAGGGAGAAAATAATGCATTTGAGATAATGTGGTGCTGGAGAAGAGTGCTGAGGATCCCATGGACAGCCAAAAGGACAAACAAATGGGTCCTAGAGCAATTAAGCCAGAAACCTCCCTGGAAGCCAAGATGACCAAATTGAGGCTTTTGTACTTTGGATACATCATGAGAAGGGAGGACTTTTTGGAAAAAAAACAATAATGCTGGGAAAGGTGAAGGACAGAGGGCTTTGGAAATGTCTCATCCATAGGGTCTCCATGAGTCGAGATGGACTCGAGGGCTGTTAACAACAACAAATTTATAAAGAATTAAACAAAAGCCTTTCCTAGGTTCCAAAAAGCAAGAACAGAATACCAAAAGGAAGATCCATAAAAAGCAATTTTTTATATTTTATGAATATATTTTATATATAACAAAAATAGGCACAAATAGGCTAATAGTGCCACTGTATTCTGCTTTGGTCAGGC